CAATTCCTTCACCTCCGCTGGGCTGGGACAGGCGGTAGCTCGCCTCACGGCGGACCGCCAGCTACCGCCTGTCCCAGCCCCTGCAGCCTCTCTGCTCCTATGATGCTGCTTGGCCTGCTGTGTTCATCCAGCCCTGCATCTTAATAGGTTTTATAGCGTCTGTTTACTGGAAAATTAAGAGATATGAGCCGGTGCACATTTCTGTTGTTCAGGGAAGCAATAAGTTAGAGTGGGACAGTGCACTGGGGCTTTATTTCATCTGAAGAAGCCAGTTCGGAGGAAGAGCATCAGGTTTTTGGGATTTTAACAGAACAATAGAGGAGGAATTAGAAGAACTATTGGACCAACAATAAAAGAGGGAAAGACAAGACAGGTTGAGATTGAAAGAGAGGTGAAGGTTGGAGGTGAGTATGTAATCGTCTATTACTTGATTTGATATAGCAGTGAAGATCAAGGAGAGGTTCAGATTGAAACAGGGAGGAGATTAGATTTAGGATGTGATTGAAATAAGGAGGTGATTGGAGTGAGGATGAGATTGGAATGAAGAGGAAATTGGAATGAAGATTAGATTGGAGTGAAGAGGTAGTCAGGATGGGTAAGAGCCTGGAGCAGGGTAAGATCAGAGTGAGGAGAATTTTGGAGAGAGGATAAGTTCTGGGAAGAGAGCTGAGATGGGAGATCAGGGAAAGGTTCTTGAGAGAGGCAGAGGACAACAGGAGGAGTGAAATTGGGAGGGTTGGAAATTAGGGTTTTGGAAAAAGGGAGAAAACAGAGTTAATGTTTTGGGTCTGGTGACCCTTCCTCAGAACTGTTCCGAGGAAGGGTCACCAGACCCGAAACGTTAACTCTGTTTTCTCCTCCACAGATGCTGCCAGACCTGCTGAGCTTTTCCAGCAACTTTGTTTTTGTTCCTGATTTACAGCATCCGCAGTTCTTTTGGTTTTTATTGGAAAAAGGGAGTTTGGGTGGAAACTGGGGAGACAGAGATTGGGAAAGTGGAGATTTGGAGAAGTGGGATTAGGGACAGGGAGATTAGGGAGGTGGAGATGGGGAGGTGGAGACTGGGGAGGTCAAGATTGTGGGCAGGGAGATTGGGAGGGTGTAGACTGGTGATCTGGAGATTAGGAGAGGAGGTGGTTAGAACACTCCTGCTTCTTCAGTCAAATAAGATTATTTATTTTTCTTTGCAGCCACTTGCAGTTCCTTTAAGGATGTTTGTTTTGTCAGCTTTGTGCCTGAAAGCTATCTGCAGTAGATACCATTCTGCAGTTAGGCACAACATAATTTTAGGAAGGGACCTGAGATGTGTGTCCGTACATCCATCTTGATTGTTTGCCATGGAATAACAACAGTATTCCCATTCCTGGGATAAAGTAATGCATACACATCACACACCACACTGGGCCTTCCACACATCAGTTATGCCATTTAAATTTCTAAGGCAAAAACAAGATCTGAATTCCTCACTGTTTACCTTATATGTGCTGTTACAATACAGGAACTGAAAGTGAGATGCACAATCAACTTAAAGTAAGGACTCAATTCTTCCCTATCACCATCAGTGAATTGTAGACACAGGAGCTGATGTTAAGATACTTATATAAGTTGCATACATCTGACAGGAATAATTGCCCTGTGTGTACTATGTGTGACACAAGCTGGGAGAATATTTCTCATTACATGAGGAATACAACACGCTTACCTGCAGATAGAGAGCACCACTGACAAACATGGTGAATAGATGACTGTTGCTATCTAGACCATAAACTGTTTCCAGGGAGCTGTGGGGAAGGAAGAAAGTGTTCTAGTTATTTATCATGATTTTCAAAGATTAGATTTAAACAGCTAGTTCACCCTATTCCTCATCCTGTTCAGACTTCCTCCAATTTGCCCTTCTGTGAGATAGGACACTGAACAATTAGAATGGCTGGTATAGTATATCCTCCACATCTCCATGTAGCTCAGTCCTGCCTGCCGCACCACAACTGGTAAAATTTCTTATAGTGACTGGCTGTTAGGAGATATTTAACAGCAATCTCTTTGTCTATTACTCAAATTACAGAAGAAGAGCATTTTCCCATTGCAGATTTGCCAACACTAACCCTTTAACTGGAGTTACACTCTCTGATACTTTTCCCTGCATCTTTTCCAATTCTTCATTTTTACATATTTACATCAAAACCCATTCTCCCTGCTCCATCTTTATAAATGCCAGAGTAAAATCTTTCAAACATTCTCTTTGCTTCTCTCTGGAACTATAAACTTCCTCACTTTCTGTTTGTAATGGGAGAACATTATGCCTTATGCAGTGTATACAGTACTTGTAAAGGAGCTGGTACTGGAATACACACAACTTATACAGCAAGCGCCAGTAATGAATCCTATCCATTTACCCTATCTGCACTGGAAACAAATTGGTTTACAATTGTGAGACATCTCCGTGTAGTAATACTGTATGCATTTTAATGTTTGCATGAAAGTTATTAATTTGTTTGGTAGTAAAATAGCAAAGTATAGCTACAACAAAATAATATTTGATCGTAGCAATATGCTATATTGTTGTAATATAACAATATAGTTATAACGTAGCACCATTACATGATTAAAATATAAAATTATTGTACGGCTTTCATACGCTACCTCTGCATGGTTGCAATACTGAATGCTGTATAGCAACATTGTAGATCTGCAATGTAGTAATGCTGGAAGAGTTACAGTGCAGTAACATTGCCTGTATTATAACAGTATTGTATGATTGTAATTCCCCACTAAACCTCTACCTTTTCTTCTCTTTTAACATCTGCAAGAACTATCTTTCCAACCAAACCATTTTTTAAAAAAAGTCATGGTATTATTTCCTTATATGGCTTGGTATCAAATGTAATCTAACTCCTATGAGCTATGTTAGGTCCATTTACCAGATTAAATGGATTATAAAAATGCAAGCTATTGTTGCAGCATTCTGGCTCTGGTCCTGAACTCACAACTCAAATAGTGTACTCAAGTCACAGAAAGGTGAGATGAGACATCTGCAAGCTGTATGGACCCAGATTGAATTGTCACCCATAACCTGGATATCAGGAGTGTGCTGTATATACAGCAAAGTATGTTTTACTTAGCATGAGACAAGAGTCTGTTTCACAACTCATTCTTTCCCTTTCGATTGTTGCTTGTCCAGACAGAACAACATCAATGGTGTGCATCGGGGATAAGAGCTGCAAAAGACTGCAGGGCCAATCCCCGCCAGTGAAAAAGGCTCTGTTTTTACACTCAGACAGGACTGAGCTTTGTTTGAATTTTTGTTGCAGACAGTGAACGGATGAGAGGAAGATACAGAGATTATAATCTGTCCACAGTAACTGCAGATTCTGTAAATAGATCTCATTCAAATCATTTAAGCACAAGCGCAGGGAATGTGGGCTGCTCTTCCTGCCAGCTTCAGGAAAGCTGCTGTAGGACACAACACGACATTTCTCACTCTTTCTGTAAATATCATGTGCAGTCAGGTAAGCAAAATCAGGGCTTGGGGGGCTGAAATTCTTTCTGCTTCATCTCATCCACTTTGTGCATTAATCTCTCTCAAATCAGGTACAATACAGATTAAACAGGGCTAGGACAAATATACATTGACACTACCTCTTCCAGCATTATCACATCAACAGCAGCATCAACTAGATTCAGAGTTGAGTTGCCAGATGAAGCTCTCCCAAGTAAAACACACGACAGGTTGGATACAGAGTAAAGGTATAAAGGCAAAGCGAACACACTAAGCAAGGGTATCTTTACAGAATCCCATCGAATATTCTCAGCTAGATACAAAATAAAATTGTCACTACAGTATCAAGCTACTTGAATGTGAGAATATTGCTAACGTAGATAAGCGACTAATTTTGGATAATATTTACATGAGCTTTCAGTAGGTTTTTCAGTAAGATTCTAAAGAAGAGTCCTATTAGACCTGAAGTGTTATCTCTGTTTCACTTCTGTGAGTATTCGGATATATATAAATGTTACACAGTGGCAATATTGTACTAGTGGATGGTTTTGATTATTAATAGTATGAAACTACAAGACCACAAAACATTGGAGCAGATGTAGGCCATTCAGCCTATTGAGTCTTCTCCACCAGATGTGATCAAGGCTGATCCGATAATCCTCAACTCCACTTGCCTGCCTTTTCCCATAACCCTTGATTCCCTTACTGATTAAAAATCTGTCTATCACAGCCTTAATGGCACAGCCTCTACAGCCATCTGGAGTTTAAAAAAAAATTAAACATATTCACTACCATCTGAGAGATGAAATTCCTCCACATTTCTGTCTTAAATGTGAAACTTCCAACTCTGAGGTTACGCCTTCTGGTCCTAGACTCTCCCACAAGGGAAAACGAACCATCTGTATTTACCCCCTCAAGTCCCCTAAGGATCTTGTATGTCCCTTAGTACAATTACCATTCACTATGTTAGGTCACTGAAATAAAGGATCTTGCATGTTTTTTAACTAGTTAAAATTTCCAAAGACCCCCTTCATTTTGACATTTTAACTACTCTGACAAATCTTTTCTTGTCTTCTTCTTCACTCAAATGAGGCTTCACATTCTACACCTGCTTCTTAGTTATGCCTCATCGTTCAGTGTTCCAATGTTGGCTGTGCTGCCCCTGTGAGGACAATTCCTATTACTGCAGCTCTGTTCCTTCCCTCACCTTAGTTCCACGTCCCATTTCCACCAACAGCTTGCATGGCTTTTCTCCAGCTCATTCTGTATCAAGCTGAGCCTCCTCAAAAGTGTAGATTCTCTTTGCTATTCACAATGCACCTGTCTCTTGGATTTGCATGCTTTAACTGCCCAGTGGAGAAGAAAGAGCATTGAAAAGTACTGCTACTTCTTACCCATTTGGTTGGGTCTCCAGGTCAATTTCACATTCTCCGTCCCCTTATGCCACCCAAACCTCCTTAAATCCAACACTCCTAAAATATGGATAATGGGGCCAGAACTGAACACAGCCTATGATGTTCAGAACTGAAAACAAGAGGATAAGATGAGAGGATCCTCTCTTTTTTCAGGAATCAATCATTGCCCTCCCCTCCCAGATCCCTGAGGAGAAACACGGGGGCTTAATGCTAGATAGCAGTAGAACAGGGTTTAAATCTAAAAGTATAGCAAGTGATGGGGAAGAGCTAGAGTAATAAGGATGGGGCTTTTTAGAGATTGGGCAACCAGAGCTGCAACACATCTGAGGAAGGGTCACCGGACCCGAAACATTAACTCTGTTTTCTCCTCCACAGATGCTGCCAGACTTGCTGAGATTTTCCAGCAACTTTGTTTTTGTTCCAGAGCTGCAACACTTCAGGTTTGGTTAGAATGGTAAGATGGGCAGAACTCCACCATTTGGTGAGAGGGCTGGGACAGGAAAGGGTGTGGATGGGGAATAGGGAAAAAGGCAGAATCCTCAGGGGGCCTGAAAATGATTCCTTTTTTATAATTTTGTCTATGCTGACCAAGTATAAACTAAAACTAATCAAGAAATAGTCAGTTCAGTACAAGAATATGATCATTCTACACCTTCTCTACCTTGAGACTCCATTAATAATATGTTATGGGAGTTCTGTTTTGAGCATGTATTTGGCTTAATTCTGCCTATGAATTGAACAAGGTAGGTTTGAAGTGTTTGGTTAGCTGTTGGCTGCAATCAATGTTAATGTCAACTGCAAGTGCCCAACTGTTGATATGTATCCTAATTGGACAGCCTGTCGGTGCAATACAAGAAAAGAGTGACACATTGTTGATCTTCTGCCACAAAATTCCACTTATATATTTAGTATTTACTAATTTACAGAATGTGTAACAGATAAATTAGGCAACACAGAATCACAGAAACACAGAATTGTTAATGTGTGGCCATTCAGCCCATTGTGCCTGCTCTGGCTCTTCATTACCTAGTGCCAATTTCCTGCTTTTTCCCCATATCCCCGTACACTATCTCTATCACAATAACCATCCAATGCCCTCATGAATGCCTCAGTTGAAGCCGCCTCCAACACACTTGCAGGTAGAGTATTCCAGACCCTAACAACTCGCTGTTTGAAGAAGTTATTTCTCACTTCACCCTTGTTTCTTTGGCACATCACTTTAACTCTATGCTTCCTTGTTCTTGTTCTTTTATCAAGTAGGACCAGCTTCTCCCCATCTACTCTATTCATCCCACTTGTGATTTTGAAAATCTTCATCAAATTTCTACTCAGCCTTCTTCTCTCCAAGGAGAACAGTGTCAACTAATGCTCATGACTGAAGTTTCTCATTCCTGGAATTATTCTTGTAAACCGATTCTGCACTCTGTCCAATGCATTCACATCTTTCCTATTGTGTGGCATTCACAACAATACACAACACTCCAACTAAGATCTAACAAGTGTCTGATACAAGTCCATCATCACCTCCCCACTCTTCGTCTCCATACAGCTATTCATAAAGCTGAGGACATCATATGCTTTACTTACTGCCCTCTTCATTTGTCCTGCCACCTTCAACAATCTGTGCACATATACACCCAGGTTCCTTTACGCCTACACCCTATTTAGAATTTTATCCCCTGTGGTGACTGTAACAAAGTCAGCTAATCGGACCTCAAAGAATATGAGTTCTCTGATTGGGCTATTAATATGATCCAATCAGGGAGATCTGGCTAACATAAAAGGATAATGTCAGGGATATTGAGACCCAGAATGTCTGACTCAGTGAGAGGCAGTGCTATTGTCAAAGGCTATGCATTTGTAAAGAAAGGATGGCTAGTGATGGAATGCCGGCTTCTGAAGAGTTATTTCATTCCCTATTTTATATTACCTTTGAATAGTCATCTTCTTACCAGAACACATCATCTCATATTTATCTACATTGAGATGAAGTCTCCCTGCACCAGATGATATCTCGGATGTGGAAAAGATCTTTGATGGTAATGCAAAAATGGGAGATAGCAAATCAGTTACCTATTTTACAGCCATCCAATGCTCTTCTCCATTCATGTCAATAGAACAGAATATTGGGCTTAGTTATAGAGTAGCTTGTGCTATCAGTCAGTCATTTGGCATTGTCACCCACTTAGTTGGCATTGTCAACCACTCATCACAACCATCCCCATCCCCTCTCAAATCCAACAATCTTGAAATCTGGACAAGAAAGTCAGTACCAAACGCAGTCTAAAATTGTACAAGAAAAAGAAATGAATAAGGCAACAGGACCCTTTTTTTCTAGAGACCAATTACCCCTCTCTTCATATCCGACAATACTATTTCTATCCCTTGGCCTGTTACCAATGTGATCAGGATTGTTTTGTTAATACACTTCACAACTGTGCTGGTAGATTCGTGTCAAATCTGAAATCTAGACTGAGTTGGATTTGCTTATTGTTCTGCTGCAGGATTCTGTTTTAATGGTCCCATGGCAACAGTGGATTATCATCACTTACGCATTGTGCTGACAGAGAGATTCAATGCAGATGAGGATTCGGATGTTATCGTGTGGTCTGCTGTGTCTTCTTCTCTGGTGCTCTCTGTGTTCTGAAAAGAAAGAGGAAACACATTGATATCAGTGAAAACAAAAAGATTTTCAACTCTGATGAAGAATTTCCAGGCCATAGCAGAGCAGTAGGATCTGTACTGGAATGGGAGTGGCCCTCTCTAGCTCTTGCTCAGCCGCCAGTATCACCGTGGCCTTACATGTTGTGGAGAAATTAAAGGTTAAATTCCTGGGGCTACCAGCTGAATGCTCTTCCTTAAAGGTGCCTGGGTGAAAATCAGCACAACACTGTGTGCATCTCTGTATCTGCTGTCTGCTAGCTGTCTCTTGGGCACTTGTGTTCTGATGTGGATTAATCCCAAAGATCACTTTCCACAGGGTTCTCCTGATCACCTAGTCTTTATATCATTTCGGTGGAGAATCGCTCCGCTGCCCTGCCTCTGAACAAAGGGTAAACCACTCCATTGGTTATGTGCATCAAAATCAATCAGAGACACTCATCTTGCCTTGACAGGCCCTCACTGTGCTGACTGGAATTAACAGGAGGGCTTATAATCTGTCAGCGCAGTGACATTAAGAATTTACTGATGGCATCAAGGAATAAGGGAATAGTTTTGGAAAGTGGCATCGAGGCAATGACCAACCATGATCTAAAAGAATAGGCTTGAGGGGCTGAATGGCCAACTCCTGTTCATTGGTTTGTAGTAATGGCATTAAAATATATCTTAATATGACAAATAACGTGACAAATGCCGGTCCTCTGGTGATAATCATTAGTTAGTGTTTGCAATAATTTTCTTTCTGGCTGTGTAGGCCTCAAGGTCCATTCATGACAGTGGCGTCTGAAATCAGAAAGGGAATGTTGGCTTGGTCCATTATGTCCTGTGGAGGGGTTGGTCAGCTGGTTCGCTCAATTAGCAGAATTGGTTTGGTATGCAGACTGCTAGTAACAGCATGGGTTCAATTCCTACAGCCAGCTGAGATTTCCATGAAGGATTCAACATCTCTCTTTGCCTGAGATGTTGTGACCTCCCCAAGTTAAACCACCACCAGTTGTCTGTCTCTAATGACAGAATAAGGCAATGGTAACTTTACCTTTATACGCAGAGGACAGAAAGACTACTTGCAGGGAAGTGAATGCATGCGCCTAGTCTTGGACTTTAATCATCAACAGTAACGTTGCAATGATCAGAAAAATGTTGACAAAATACTATTTAATCTGAACTGTAATTAGTTTGCAATTTGGGAATGTTGAGTATAAACCATAGCTGCTGTTTGGAAAGCTAGCCATTGTCTTTGTGGTAGAGGGGAGGGAGGCAACAGACACTGACGCTGTCTGGAGTGTGGAAGCTGCTCCTCCCCAAAAGCTTCTTTAAGATGTACAGACGTTTTCCAGATTATTGCCTTCAGCTATTGACTATACCCAAATTTCTTTCGGGGGCTGAACCTGGAAGTGTCCTTTTCACTTCTTGTAAGAAGCACTCTGCTCAGTAACTGTCAGGTTGACCTTCAAAACGCCTCTCTTCTGATTCCTGGATACAGAGAGAAGCTGAAGGAGTCACTACATCTTGGTTCCCATGACTGCCTGGAAAATCTGTACTGTAGTGACAGATGTTACTCTACGTGGTGGATTATCCTCTGCCATTTCTCCCACCTCCACCGTAACACCACCAGCAAGCACATCTTCCTCTGAGCTTTCCTCTCAGCATTCCATACAGACTGGTCACACTTCTCCACTCCTCAATCACCCCCAACACTTCCTCACTTTCATATGGCTCCACTACAGGCAAGTGAAGGAGATGCATTGCCTGTTCCTTTACCTCCTCCCTCCTCACTGACCAAGACTCCATACACTTAGTCTGGGAGAAGCAGTGAATTACTTGTTCTTCTTACAAGCTAGGCAACTGTATTCACAAAACCAGTCTCCTCTGAATTGGGGAATCTGAATGTAGACAGTGTGGACTTTTGTGAAACATATCTGCTCAGTATTACCATCTAACATGGTCTGAGGAATGCCTGAGATCTAATGGAATGGGGGATTAGGTGATGGACATTTTAATAAAGAATTAATTGGGTGTGAATTGGTTGTATAAATATGGGAGCTTGTCATCAATAGGGTTTGAGTTTTAACGAGTGTGGCTAACTGAAATAAAACTCAAATAAAAATGTAGATTGAATTCAGTTTAAATACAGTTATCGTTTGGAGTATGGCGTTCAGCCTACAAGGATAACCCCAAGGTTTTAGTTACCTGACATTTCAATTCTCCACCTTTCTGTCACTTTGACATTTTTACCTTGGCCTGTTGCAGTGCTCTCTAGGCTCTTAACATAAGCTTGCAGAGCAGCTTCTTATCTTTTTGTTCACCGCTCTACAAATCCCAAGGCTCAACTTTTGAGTTCAACAATCTTAGATCAAAGTATCTGCTTCTATCTTGTTCTTTGTCTTATTTTTGCTGGTTTGGATTTGTCATGTTTCTTTATCACTTCATGTTACATTTGGACAGCTGTTATGCAGCCATTCACACCCTATCTGGATACGGCTTTTATTTCTTTACTGTATTCAGTCCCAGTCATTCTTGGCTATCGTATTATGAAAACTTTTGTCATTTAATCTCCCCAGCCATCCATCATAGAATTACAGAATCTCGATTGTGCAGCGAGAGGCCAATTCAACCCACCAAGTATGCACTAACCCTCTGAAGTGTATCTCACCCAGAAGTACTGCTCACTCTATCTCTATAACCCCACATTTCCCACGGCTAATTCCACCTCGCCTACACATCTGTAGACACTATGGGGCAAATTAGCACAGCCAATCCACCTAACGTGCACATCTTTGGACTGTGGGAGGAAACCAGAGCACCCAGAGGAAACTCCACACAGACATAGGGTGAACATGCAAACTCCACACAGACAATCGGCCAGGGTTGGAATCGAACCCAGGTCCCAGGGACCACTGAGCCACCGTGTATATATTGTATCAGCCCTTTGTTCTTCTTGCCCCTGCTCCCTTCTGCAGGTTTAAAACATGTTACATTCCTATCCTTCCCCAATTCTGATGAAAGGTCATTGACTTGAAAAAACTAACACGATCCCTCTCTCCATCAAACTGCCTCACTTGCAGCGAGTTTTCGTTATCACTTAAGGAATCCTTCTGTTCCTATTTAATTAGAGATACTTCATCTAAAGAGAGTGGAGCCTTTGGATCAGTAGATAGCAATTCCAAATTTGTGTCGGAAGATGCATGATTCAAACTATTCTATACAATCCTAAATGTCCTTCTTACCAGCCCAGTGGGTAGGTTACACCCAAAGGTGTTTGTGGTGTTGATGGGGGCAAGGATGTGCAAATGGTTAGAGTCCTATGTGGTAGAATTGACACCATTTGGATTCTTAGCTATATTTTCAGCTCTTATGCAGTGGTATTTTCGTCAAGGTTCATCTCGAGCAACTCCATGATGCAGGACTCTGTGCTGTACAGTCTGTTCCCCAGGACGCACACCAAGACAAACATCAAATGCGCCTGGAGGACCATCAACTCAGTGAAAGACACTCTTTGATCTTCCAGAGCAATGAGTTGACCACGACTGAGTGTTGCAGACTGGCACATTCCAATGTCCTGGACTACATGCTTAGGGACGCACTAAAGCTTGGGCTAGCTGCCACCAAGGCACAGTGGGGAAAGACCATTGTCTGAGTCATCCTACTGAAGGTAAATTGGGGTCTGTTCAATTATCAGACACTCCTGTGCTTTAAATGCTTATAAATATTGTCTGGTTCAAGTGAGAGATGCCTTTGGTTTGTTTGGATAAAGTCAAACTCCATTGTTAGTTTTCAGCGATTAAGAGGTAGCAAGTACTGCAGATGGTGGAGTCAGAGTCAGTACTGGAGCTGGAGGAACACAGCAGGTCAGGCAGCATCACAGGAGCAGGAAGGTCAACATTTCTGGTGTACACCCTTCATCAGGACTGGGGAGTGGGAAGGGAGCTCAGAAATAAATAGAGGGAAAGGAGTGGTGCTAGGGGAAGGTAGGTGGGTTGGTGAGAGGTGGATGCAGGTAGGGGGTAGTGGGGATTGGTCAGTGAGAAGGGTGGGGTGGATAGGTGGGAGAGAAGATGGACAGGTTGTGTCAGGTCAAGGAGGCGGGGATGAGAGGGAGGGTTGGACACTGGATGACGCTGGGGGTGGGGAGATTTTGAAACTGGTGAATTCCATGTTTAGGCCATTGGGCTGTAGGCTCCCGAGGTGGAATATGAGGTGCTGCTCCTCCAGTTTGCAGGTGGTGTCATTGTGATACTGGAGGAGGCTCAGGATGGACATGTCATCCAGGGAGTGGGAGGGGGAGTTAAAATGGTTGGTGACCAGAAGGTGTTGTTGATTATAGCATACAGAGCGCAGATGCTCCGTAAATTGGTCACTGAGTCTGTGTTTGGTCTCACTGATGTAGAGGAAATGTTTGTTTGTTTCCTTGATATGCTACTACACAGAACTGAACTGCATTTGTGACTATGTATATAGACAAAGATATTTTTTATGAATAAAGTATATTGTTGAAATAAAAAAAATCTTTTCAGGTCTTTAGCAGTTGAAATATTATGTCTCGCATTGTCACATTCCAGCCCTCTTACAAACTGTTGCCCTCTGGTCACCATTTTAGCTTATGGTGAGAATGTAGATGTACTGTTACTGCCTCTGATCAGTATATTTTTTATGGAAAGAAGTGGATGTCTCCCACCCCTAGAAATGTGTATTCCAATTAAATAATTCCAGTTTTTGGTTTAATTTAGATGCGAAGGTTTTTTGTTTGTTTCTCACAGCCTGCATTGATTAAACACAACATCACACACTCTCAGTTCTAGCTCAAGTACTCACATGCACACACGCGCACGCATACACATAATAAATGCAATATACTTTTACAGATTATTTTCACTCTGTGTCTGATTCGTGATCTCCTGTATCCCACACATATGACCTGTGGTAGCTGACTGAATTCAACAATTTGAAATTGAAGTGAGGGTCTGGTACAGTGAAGGGTGACGACAGATTTTGAGCTTTCTTAGGAGCAAATTACTGCAGATACTGAAATCTGTACTGAAAACAACAAATGCTGGAAATCACAGTGGGTCAGACAGGATCCATGGAGAGAGAACAAGGTAACGGTTCAAGTGTAGATGATTCTTCAGCTGTCTCCCCATGAATGCTGTCTAGCTCTCTGTGAGCTGTCTCGTCGTTCATTAGTGAAGAGGTTGATTCTCAGGTGAACTTTACAGGTTTAGTATAATCCATAAAAGAAGTCATGTTATCTGCAGGTAGCCTTATTTTACAGTCCCTTAATGTCCAATTTTAAAATTTAAGAATAACTTAAAGTTCAGAATACGACCAGTTGATACTCAGCGTAACAATAGGGTTCCACACAGTCAGTTGGAGATAAATAGGAACATGGAAAATAAACAAAGGAGAGGACAATGCATAAAACATGCCCCAACCAAGGTGTGTCGAATTGTTAACTCAAACAACTCAATCATGCACCTTCCAAGAGATGGACCATTAAAAATAAGAAACCAAAAATACTGATAGGCCAAGACATTTTACTACACATGCACCAAGCTCAGGAGAGGTTCAGCATCAGGCATCAAAATTACATGGAATTCCTGCCTAGAAAGCGTTTCCTATTTTTCTATTCTTCATAGAATCCAAAGAACATCAGTCTTTTTTTGGCGTTTTGCCATTACTTTTGAAGGGGAACTGCCTTTCCTTTGGCAATCCCAAACATGAATGCAATTTGTGCGTCATGAGTTGAAGATATAACATGGTTTAAAAGAAGCACAAATTCTACTATGGCAGCAAACCAGCTCCACATTTGTTTTCACAGAAATGAGAAATTTCAAAGAGAAGGTAAAATCTTATCTATCGCAGTCTGGAGACAATTTGACTCTTCTTATCAGAGCTGTGTGAGCTTTGAATAAGATGCATAAGTGAAGCAATATTTCTTGAATGAACAGCCCCTACAGACAGGCACCCAGTTGTCTATTTACTCATGCACAATTAATTGCTTTCTTGATCTTCTTACCAATATGGAGGTTGGCTGAGAACTGGTAGAATCCTGCCATTGGGGCCACGTATTGGCCACTAGTCAGATTGAGGCCAATTCCTCGCAGGAACACTCCATCTTGCTCAGGCTGAAAAGAAGCAGACATGTTAAATAACAAGGTGCAACTCCTTTTCAATGCTTCTCAATCCAACTGAGCAAACATTAAGCATCAAGATCTCAAGAGTACATTGTCCACAGATCCCTCTAACTCCATGCATTTTTTTTACAAAGGTAGTAGACCACTTCAAATCAATAGGGCATACCGTTGCTAATCCATGGAGTGTATGCTAGCATGCCAAGTATTTGTTATTATCAGGAACGGAGATTTTTTTTTTGATGTTTTGCCATTACTTTGGAGGGCAAGTTGCCTTTCCTTTGGCAATCCCAACCATGAATGCAATTTGTGTGTTATGAGTTGAAGATATAAGATGGTTTATAAGAAGGACAAGTTCTACTATGGCAGCAAATTAGTTCCATGTTTGTTTCCACAGAAATGAGAAATTTCAAAGAGAAGAGATTGTAGATCTAATGTAATCTGGCTAGTTTCACATCATATTCTTACAGCAATTAGAAAGGGACTTCTGATCCATCTATCTGGACTGGGCTGGGATTAGATCCTCGCAGGTGCAGGTCAAATGAGTTGGGAACAACATCACAAACCTAAAGGAATCAGGTGGTGAGGTCAGCTACCATATTTCCATCGTAGCTTCACTCCTTTCACCCAGCAGGACCACTGAAGGCCATCCCCCACATGTCAGTGAGGAGCTAGGACCCCTTGTCCCTCCTAACCACCCCTGATATCATATGCTAGTAATTCCAAGGGTATAGCCAGGAAATCCTCAAACTGGGATGGAAAATGTTGAAGAATTCTATTGCATAGAATTATTACACAATTTACCGAAACAGGCCATTTGCCCCAATGAGGCCGTCCTGTTGTTTACGCTCCACATGAGCGTCCTTCTTCATCTAACTCCCTCAGCATTACTTGCTGTTCCTTTCTCCCTCGTGAATACATCTATGCTATTTGCTGCAACTGTTCCTTGTAGATAATGAGTTCCATATTCTAAGTTTTCTCTGAGTAAATGGGTTTCACTTTATTTGTCAAATGGATTTATTAGTGACATCCTATATTTATGGACCCTAGTTTTAGTCTCTCCAACTAGTGAAAATAGGTTGTTATGTTACTCTGTTGCAGGCCTTTATAACTTTAAAGATGCCTATTAGATCGCCTCTGAGCCTTGTCTTTTCAAAAGAGAAATGCGCCAGCCCATTTAGCATTTCCTTGATTGTTATATTCTTTTGGTTTTGATATCACAGTTGTAAATCTCTGTTGAACCTTCTTCAGTATGTCTGTGTCTTTCTTTTGTAGAACCTTATATATTACAGTTCACAGTACCCCACAGAATTTGACTAGACCCTAGGCTACATCGCCTATTGAATTCAATTCCTTTAGAAATGGACTCCAGTGTATTGCTGCCTTTTTATAGCCTTATTAACCAACGTTGCTACTTTAAATGATTTATGAATCTATAATTTTAGATCCCTTTGCACCTTTACCCTATTTAAGTTCTTATTTCCACAGGGCATGTATCCTCCTTACTTTTCATATCACAGTTAATCACCTTACACTTCTTGTTGAACTTCATTCACGAAGTTCATGCTCATTCTGCAAGTTGGTTGTCACCTTCATGTATTTTTTTTCCACTGTCTTGCGCAGAATCGATTATAATCCCTGACCTGATATCATCCACAAATTTTGAAATTGTCCCTCTAACTCCTGAGTTCAAGTTGTTTACATAAATGGGGAATGACAGTAGAGTGGGCCTCTTTTCTCTCTACTTCGATGTCACATACCTACAATGCAGCCCAGTTTCAGTGAGGCCTACGGAAACCTTAGCCATATTAATCTTTGGGGTTCTTCATCCACTGAACTGGATTGAGAGCTCCTGTGTGCTGTTGCAGGCAGGACCACTGCAGCTAAGCAAAAATTTCCAGGATGCATAGAATGAGAATCTATTTCTAGTGAGTGCCAACCTTCAGTATTGAGTAATATCTAGCCCAGAATAATGGGACTGGATGAGACTGGGTAAGTACGGTTGGTGCATTTCCTTTCACAATAGTCTAGTGTTAAATTAAGAGAATATGGAACCATCCGGTTCTCCCTTGTAAATTATTGTTTCTTATATTATTGCAATACATTATTTATATTTATGTACACATGTTCTTACTGCTCAATAATATTGGTGTATGAGTGTACAATTATGCTGGTCATGTAGTTTGAAAAGCCACTCACAATATGAAAATTCTTCAGCTCCCTCAAACTCTTTCTGTTCATCACAAGGTCATCCTTTAGCTTGCAGTGAAAGGCTGCCTCCAGTCTATGATATGGGCCCATCTCCCTGGGTAATAGTGAGGGAAAGGCCAGACCACCCTGAATTCCTGGACATTCCTGGCACTTTTCCTGCAACGTGATCCTATTTCTTTCTTCAACCACTTCTGCAGAAGAAAAATCAACTTCAGTTGAACATAGGAGGACAACGTATCTATTCATTCAAGACCAATCTGAATAACGTTGGGAATTTTCTTGTAATAATTAGGTTGGGTCATTTTGTGTTCTTTAACCAGTGGGGCACCACAAGGGTCAGTGCTTGGATTCTAGCTATTCACAACACATGGCAATGATTTAGATGTGGAAAATTAATGCATTATTTTAAAAATTGATTACGACACTAGACTAAGAGAAACTTAGAGCAGTGAGGAGCCAGTGAAGAAGATTCAGGGTGATTTCAACAAGTTATGTGAGTGGGCAAGTTCATGGCAGTTTATTGTGAAGTTATCCACTTGAGCTGGAGAAACAGAATGGAAGAGTTTTTTTTAAAGATGTTGATAGATTGGGAAATGTTAACATACAAAAGGACCTGGATGTCCTAGTACACCAGTCATTAGAAGTAAATATGCGGGTGCAGCAAGCAGTCAGGAAGTCATTTGGCAAGTTGGCTTCATTGCAAAATGATTTCAGTGCAGGGGCAAGGAAGGCTTCCAGCAGCTACTCAGGGGTGAGACAACACCTGGAATATTATATACAGTTTTGGTTTCCATAACTGAAGAAGGATGTTCTGGCTACTGAGGGAGAGCAATGGAGGTTCACTAGGCTGATACTGGGGATGGATTTAAGAGGCATTTAGACAGGCACATACACAGGGATGGAACAGAAAGATACAGGCTATGTGCAGGCAGATGGGATTAGTTTAGAATGGCATCATGGTCAGCACCACCATGGTGGGCTAAATGGCCTGTTTTTGCGCTGTGTAGTTCTATATTCTCCATTTCCCATTTTCCATATTTCTATGAAATGCAGTGTGCATAGCAGGAACAGTGGGTAGAAGTCCCGTATTATAACTGTACCACATATATGCATGATTTGGCCATGGGCAAACAGGATATAATATTAAAATAAACTGGCGATGCCAAACTGGAAAGTGTCAGGCATGGAGGACAAAGGCAAAAGAGTTGCAGAAAATAGAAAGGTTTATGGTGTCAACAGATGCATTTTACATAGGTACATCTTAAACAAAGACAGATTTTTTAAATTGATTATTTCATGAGATGTGGGCATCATTGACAAGGCAAGGCTTTATTCCTCATCCCTAATCTCCTATGAACTGAACAGTCTGTTGGCCATTTCAAAATCAGCCACATTGCTCTGGATCTGAAGTTACATGTATACTAGACTGGATGAGGATGGCAAATTTCCTTCCTGAAAGGTAATGAGTTGACTGGATGGGGTTTTATTATTCCAGATTTTATTAATTGAATTTTACTGCCATATTGGAACCCATATCGTGAGAGATTAGCCTTGCCCTGAGGATTACCGTTTTAGTGAAATCACTGCCACATCACCATCTCCCTGAAGTTCTGACAGCACTCAGCAGATCAGATAATGTCAATGGAGACAGTAGGACAACTTAACATTTCTGGTTAGAACTGATTAATATGAAGTTTGTTTGTAATAAAGAAGAGAATAGAAATAAAAATGAATAGAGCATAGGTATAAATGTCTAGAGTTTAGATGTATTGATCAAGCAGAGCACTTGGAATAATGGTCACAGGAATAGAGATCTAAGATTGCAGTGATACAATGATGCGTTGATGAAGGGTACGTTGTACAGAACAAGGGCTAGGGGAATGCACATTTAGGAATTAAAATGCACAGCTCCAGCAGTATTGAGACACAGATCAAGAGGTATAAATATTCAAAGTCCTGGAACTCCCTCCCTAATGGCATTGCAGGTCTACCCACAGCACATAGACGGCAGTGGTTCAAGAAGGCAGCTCACCACCACCTTCTCAAGGGGAACTAGGGACAGGTAATAACTGTTGGCTTAGCTAGTCATGTCCACATCCCCTAAATGATCTAAAAATCACAATACTGGAACAAAAAAAAAACTAGCGATACAGATACAGTGATTGAAGGGTACAGGCGTATTGATCTAAGATACAGAAACAGAGCCTAATACATTATTTCAGTGGTATCATTTGTATTTTTAAAAGTAGGTAAATAAAGTCTTTGAAATGGCAAACAGGATTTAGTTTTTATATACATGAATAGTGAATAAAAATTAACTGTCCTGACTGTTATGGTACAGGGCCATTCATATTACATGTCTTCAATTTTTAATATTTTCTTATATTATTTTACTCAGTCTCTATTGTAGTCCCACTAATTTTAATATATGCTTCAGTCTCCCTTTCAACGCACAGTTACCCCTCTCAACAAGTATGCAAGCCTCATAAACTTTAAATATTCTGTCTCTCCAAAGTTTCATTTGCAGTTTCTATGATAATCCCATTAATTTTAATGATTATCTTCAATGCCTATTGTAGTTCGTATCATTTTAAATATGGTTCCCCTCAAGTTCTGTTGAAATCCTTTTATATTTTGAATGTTATATCTCAATGTGTTCTTTTTTATGGTCCCATTTATGTTAATTATTAACTCTCCCGTTGTCTATTATAACAAGAGCAATTTGCATTTACATAGTGCTTTTGATGTACTTAAATATTCCAAGCCACTTCACAGATTTATCAACAAAATTTGATGCTGAGGGACCAAAGGAAATGTGAGGAAAGGTGACTTAGATCAGAGAGGCAGGCTTTAAAGAAAGGAGGGAGAGATAGAATTATGGAGAGGTTTTGCGAAGGAATTTCAGAGTTTAGGGTCTGGGCAGCTAAAGGCTACAAATGGTGGAGCGATGAAAATTGCTGACATACTAGAGACCAGAATTGGAGAACCACAGAGATCTTGAAGAGTTGTTGTACTGGAAGAGGTTTCAGAACTACAGAGGATTGAGAACAATGAAGAATTTTAAAGCACATAAAGAGAAATTTTAAGTTGAAGTGTTGCTGGATCAGGAGACAACGTAGGTCAATGGATGAATGGGATAATTCATGTGTGGATTTTGCCAGCAGAGTTTTGTTGACCCCAAGGTTTTAAGAGTGTTCAAGGCTATTCAGGAATGTACTAGAATTGTCATGTCTAGCTACAACAAGGCATGAATGAGAGTTTCAGAAGCAGATGAGCTGCAAGAAAGGAGAGATGAGCAAATAGAACATAGAACAATGCAGCACAGGAATAGGTCCTTTGGCCCACCAAGACTGTGCTGGACATGATACCAGTCTAATAGAATCCCATCTGCCTGCATAACGTCCATATTCCCCCACCCCCCATTCCCTGCCTGTTCATGTATCCGTCTAAATGCCTCTTAAACATTGCTATCATAATGGAATTGGAAATCCTCATTCTTGGTAATGGAGAAGGTGTGGAAATGAGCAACAGTGTCATTTGTGTAAGATATTGTTATTTACTGTAATTGCAGTTACTGAACCATCACATGACTTTACCTTTAAGCATTTCTTTGAATTCTTTCAGTAGTACTTCCTGTGTGACAATAGCTCCAGGGGGACCCTGGGGTCCAGGTGGACCTGGTGGCCCTGGAAGACCATGCTGCAGAACAAAACAGGAAAAACAACTGTTACTCAGTTTGCCCTCTACACATTGAACCACTGGCGTCTTCAGTCACAATGAAGCATCTTCTCCACCAGCTCAACTCTTATGCTGATGGCTTATACAGGACAGAAGCACATAAGAATGTCAGGAACAACAGCAGGAAGAAATTGTACAGACTGACACTCTACTCCTCCATTCAGTAAGATCCATGGCTGATCTTTTGCCATAACTCCATTTCTCACCCACTCTCCACATTCCGGAGAGACCAAAGGTCTACTGCAACATTGAGTATACTCAACAATGGAGCATCTACAAACCTCTGGGGTAGACAATACCAATGACCCAGAGTCTTACAATTGAAGAAATTCCTCCTCATTTCAGTTCTAATTGATCAGCCCCCTTGGGTGCCTGTGTTCTAGATTCTACAGCCAAGAGAATCAACCTCCCTGTATCTACCCTGTCAAGTCCCTTCATAATTTTTTACATTTCAACGAGACCCTTTCGCATTCTTCTAAATACTGGAGAGTATAACCCAATTTAATGAGTCTCCCATCACAGGACAACCTTTTATTTCAGAAACTGCTCAGGGAACGTCTGATACACTGCCAGCTAGGCAAGTATATTTTCAGATGTGTATACAATACTTCAGTGTGGCCCTGCCAAAACTTATAACATAGTAGCAAGTTGTCCTTACTTTTGTCCTTCAATCTTTCTGTAAGAAAGCCTAACATGCTATATCCTTCCTATATCCTTCTTGTACCCGTAAGCTAACATTCTGTCTTCCTTATATGAGAACATCTGGTGTCTCTGAACATCAGCATTTAGAAATTTCATGCCTTTTTATGGAAAAGTGCTTCTCTATTATTGCTACCAAAGTGAATATCCCTCTACTTGCCCATATTATGCTTCACCTGCCACTCACTTAAGCTGTCTACATCGCTTGGCAGCCTTTATGTGTCCTCCTCACAGCTTACATTCCCACCTAGCTTCGTATTGTCAGTATATTTAGATACATTGCTCTCTATCATATTCATTGATTATTCTAATCCTTGCCCAAAAGGAGATTCAATCCACTAGTGACACAATGTCAAAGATGGCTTAGGGCAAGGAGGCAGACTCCAAATCCACTCGAGTGAAAGCTAGGATTAAACTCCTGTTGGCACCAAGCTGATTCACACCAGCTGTTCCCCCATGAAGTCTGAGTTGCTGTGGCAACTTATACTTTCTACGTACGTGTTTTACTTCAGGCCTGTGGATAGTGATAGTAGAGGCTCCAATTTTCTTTCCATTGCATGGAATCTCTCCCAATCTTACCACCTCATATTGGCATGTGTTGGAAGGATTTGAAGACTGATCCCCATCCTGTTTGGACACATTACGCATACACCTTCCTTGGCTATAAAGTCCCAGAGTGAGACTTGAACCTGGAGCTTCTGGCTCAGAGGCAGGAAAACTACCTATTGCTCCACAAGAATCAGAGAATCCCTACAGTGTGGAAGTAGGCTATTCAGCCCATCCAGTCCACACTATTGATTAATATATGCTGCAAATAGCTGAAGACCCAGAACTAATACTTACAGGACTTCACTAATTACAACCTAATAATTTGAAAGTATCCTGTTTATCCCTAACCCTCTTCCTTACTATTAACCAATCTCCATCCATGCTAATATATTATTGGCACCTCAAGTAAACTAAATAGAACATTTCTACCTCACTTTGAAAGGCTTTCTGTATATGATAATACCTGGAATGAGCGGATTGCCTTATGAGAAAAGGCTAGACCTGAATCCTCTGCAGTTATGAAGATTCAGAGGTAACTTAATTGAAACATATAGGAGGATCCCGAAGGGACTTGACCAAGTGGATGTTGAAAGGATGTTTCTTCTTGTGGGAGAATCTGGTACTAGGTGCCATAATTTACAAATAAAGGGGCACCTATTTGAGGTAGAGATGAGGAAACTTTTTTTCTCTCTGATGGTTGCGTGTCTTTAGACTTCCTCAAAAGGCAGTGAATGCAGAATCTTGACATATTTCTAGGGCAGAGGTAGGTAGATTCTTAATGACCAGAGGTATGAAAAATTATTGGGAATATGCAGGAATGTGGATTAAAGTTAAAATCAGATCAACCACAATCTTATTGAATGATGGAGCAGGCTTGAAGTGTCGAGTGGCCTGCTTTTGTTGCTTGAATGTATATTCACATATGGCAGCCTATGTTGTTTCACACTTATACACTTTTCTTATACTTCTTATTAGACATTTTCTAATGGCAATCTCTCCAGTTGTTCTGGTACAATATTGTTATCATAGTGACAGACTTCCCAAAGCTGTTTGAATGCTGCCTATCATTGCAACAACACCGACAATGTGTACCTTTAGCATGGTAAACTATCACATATTGTTTTACGGGAGTGCTATCAAATAGAATTTCTAATGCAGGGTCAGATAAGGAGCTGTAAGAATCTCAGCATCCCATTCTTTTGTACACCATGGTTTGTTGATGACTTTCCAACACCTTGATGAATTACTTTTATATTCAAGAAGCTTTATTAGTACAAGTTATCAGACGCGCAATTCAAGAAAAAAGGTACATCGATCCAGAGGTATAGATACATTGGTCTGGGAGTGCCGATACATCAATTCAGTGGATGTAGATACACAGATATTGGGGTGAAAATTGCTCTCAAGTTACGCCATCTGCCTGAGCTTCTTAATGAGTCAGATTTCTCCTTTAGACTACACTAGGCGTGTCCTATTTATAGCATCCTCTCATACGTGTAGTTTGATGTTATCCTTTTAAAGCAACCAAACATTTCCCTGACTAACAATAAGGCCTCCTTCCTTCATACATCAGCCAATCAACCTTGATGGTGATACCCAATCCCTCCTTTTTTTAATGTTTCGGGTACTGTTCATATAAAATTGCCAATGGAACTGCAGCCTCACGCTAACTTCTGTAAGAAAACTGTGAAAGTCAATTCCTCACCTCATCCATCGCCACCAACAATTACCTGTGATTTTCGACCTCTTCCTTTGTTCTTCTTCCTGTCATTGACCCCCTTCTCGGAGTGTTCTACAAACAGGAGCCAGCTGTCGTGTGGGTCCACAGGCGTATCTGGTAGCTGCCAGAGAAAAGGTGAAAAATAAGGCAGGAATCCAAATCCTGAGAAAGGAACTGAGTTATGGAACATAGTCATCATTTGGCATTGGACGGCAAAACCTTTAAATGAGCTGAGAATGAGCTAATTCAGGTAACATTGGGCAATGTTCCCAGTAGAATTGAGTTTTATTCTTTTAAGACGTTAATTCTAGAAACTGGAACAATATTAACTACTCACATTCAACATCACAATCAAGAATACTTAGGCCAGGTACAATATGGGTTAAATACAGAGTTAGGGGGAATCTCATCATTGAGCAGTAGTGTCCCTACCTCTGAGACAAGAGGCTCAGGTTCAAGTTCCATTTACTCCAGAGCCATGTAGTAACATCACTGAACAGGTTGTTGAGAAAATATATTGAATACAGAGTTAATCTCCTCCACTCTCCACCATCTGGCAAGTTAGCTGATGAGTGAAGTCCATGAAGGGCTTGTAAGGCTTGATATAATTCGGACTGGATGCAGAAAACTCTGTCCTTGATCCACAAAATAATGTATCTCCACAATCAATACCTTGTACTTGAAAAGACTGAAAATTTGGATCTAGATAATTAGATTTACAATGTCTCATTTGTCTCTATAACAAACAAACGTGTAGATTTTTGCATTCTAAATCTCGGAAAGAACTGACAGTAATCCATGTCATAACTATGTGATCTGAGATAGAAGACTGGCATGCTACCCACTGTTGTACCCAATCCCAGAGTGTGAAAGGACAGTGTCAGACCCACTGTTGTACCCGATCCCAGAGTGTGAAAGGACAGTGTCTGACCCACTGTATGTACCAGTCCCAGAGTGTGAAAGGACAGTGTCTGACCCACTGTATGTACCAGTCCCAAAGTGTGAAAGGACAGTGTCTGACCCACTGTCCCAACCAGTCCCAGAGTGTGAAAGGACAGTGTCTGACCCATTAAGTCCCTCTCCTCAAATTTTAAAGAGTGACAATTATAAGAGAAGATCTACTTTTGTAACTGATCCACCATGTTTGCAAGATCCGCAAATAGTTGTTAAATTTTACCTTCCCTGAAATTCATCTCATGATTGTGGATGAATTTTATTGAGCACAGGTAGGAAGTTTCAATAAGGAAGGAGGTGAATAGGTAGTGAAAGGTGTTAGCTTCACCCACACATTGCAACATTGTCCTTGCCCATCACAGCACTGATTTTGTTTGCACCATAAATGAATAAGCATTATTGTTATTTTTGTTCTTATATCCTGCTAATATTTCAGCCATCTCTGAAAAATAATAAATCCTTTTCGAAAGAGCGCGAGAAAAACACAGGGAGATTTATTAAGAATTGCTGATTCTTTATGGAAAATGGAACTTCTGCAAAGTTGCCACTCACTCTGAAACAGCTGGAATATGTCTGCCTGGGCAAGGCCAAGAGCTCAATAGTGCAAATACAGTATGGGCATGATGCATCGAGGGTGGGTTTGTAAATTGGCATGCACTTTTGGAACCGTTTGGATGTTTGCTTACACTAACTCTTTCACATATCACTTTCACTGCAGCTTTCATACAATACTCTTTTTCAGTTCTTAACTTGTGGATCACTGTTATGTATGAAATGAAATCATCTATACTCCAGAGTCTGAATACGTTATTCTTCTGTCCCAAACAGGCGCCCTTCTAAGAAGGTGTCTACTGTGGAATTTCTCTCTTCCACTATGAATGTCCCTCCCCTCCCCCACCACCCCAAATATCTTCAGATAAAAATAGCATGCTTCCCTATACTCCAGCTCAGTATCTGTCAATACCTCACTCCTCCTTCAGACATGTTGTGCAAGATACTGTATAAATGAAGACTATTGTTGAGAGTACTGCATTTATTCAGAAAGTGCTTAAAGTCTTGATTATGACAATTTAATTAGTGAGGTCATGAAGTCCAAATTCTTTGTGGCTACATTAAGTGAATGATAATACTTTAACTCATCTGCTTAGCAATAATAATAATGCCAGCTCATGTCATCTATCAGGTGCATAGATCCTATTAGTTCTTCTGGTATCCTGCCTCAACATTCTTCTCTGCCTGACAATTGTAAATAAAACAGGTTAGATGCTTTTATGTGGGACCTTGCCTTGGACAATTGGCTGCTTTTACAATCCTTGTAGTGATTAATAGCTATTCCAAAAGATGAATTTTCCAGTAATCAATGGACAAATTAGCAAAGAACCAGATTTCACATTTTTCAGATTTTCACTGTAACAAACTAACATCAGCATAGATGAAACATTGCTTAACAGGCAATTAATGCACTCAAGCAGAAAGATGGTACTTTTGCCTGAACTTACATAATTGAGATACAAAGGCTGAATGAACTGTGAATGCTGAAAATCAGAAGCAAAAACAGAAATTGCTGGAAAGGCTCAGCAGGTCTGGCAGAGAGATCTGAGTTAATGTTTCGGGTTCGGCGACCCTTCCTCAGCGCTATTGTTGACAACTGAGATAGAGCCTCTTTTCCTGAGTATCACAGATGTTTAGCATTTTAAGAAAAATTTCGTCAATAACCCCAACCATCCAGCAGGCTCACATCTCCCTATTGTGTTATGTCACAGCTTTCAGTATCCTTCAAAAGTCATTCCACTTGATCTGAGTCTTCAGGTCTGATTACCACCGGCAAGGTCTGCCTTGTCGACTTCTTGTTCTTTAAATCTCCAAATAAAACATAGGAGATTACAGCACAGGAACAGGGCCTTCAGCCCCACCATGTCTGTGCTAACTATGATGCCATTCCAAATTAATCTGATCTGCCTGCACATGGCCTGTATCCTTCAACTTATTCCATCTGCCCTGTTTCCTCTTTGAACAAAATAACATGCTTTTAAAGGTATCCTGCTCGATGACTAACTCAAAATAGTCCTTCAGTTCCCTAACAACAGTCACTGCAATGGTTCTCTCCATAGCAGTTGTAATCATGTCTCTCTCTGTCTCAAAATATATGTGTTCCATTATCTGTGAAGTACTGCGTCAAGGTCACTTGATTTCATTAAGTTTTGGTTTGAGTTTCTCTCCTATGGCCACTGGATGACATGGACCTGTCCCTGTGCGTAGATGTTTTGTATGACCTCAGCATTCCACCACTGATTTCAACTTGCATTAAAGGAGTCATAGAAATATAGGACTGAATCTTACCATAAATTGACTAAGTGTCAATTTCATGGGATTTTATGGAGGGTTCTCTCTGCAAAGTCTAGCTAGCTTTCTTAGGCAACTGTCCCATACTCACCTCATTAACTATGTACCGCAAACCTATGGTGCCACTATTATCATGGGTGATGCTTGCACATCCAAGTGCACATTCCTCTTCTGATTTCTGTTTAATCACCAGGCCACACAGCTTACCCTTCCTTCGCTAAATTCCTTCTAATAGCCCTTTATGTCACTGTTATTCTTCCCCTAATGTCTACTGAAGCCCAGTATCTTATAGTTGGTCATCACATACGGGAAAGACTTCAAATAATTCAAAACATTCACCTTTATTTATTAACACCAAAATCAAACAAAACTCAAACAAACACAAGCTTTCTTTGCCTCTTAGAGCAGAAACAAATTTCTTGTATGCCAAGTAGTAGCAATTTTTGTAATAGTCAATGAATCATTACTAAACCCAGCTCTCATCTACTGGAAACTGGCTAACAATTAATTTCAGTCTGGCTTGTAGAGTCCAACGTTGCTTAGCTCTATCATTCCGAAAGTGATGTTTCTTCCGTTCAATGTCCTCATCCTCATTCTCCTCAGAAGACTGCTCCTACTCTCCCAGCTCCTCAGCCTCCATCATTTTCTCTCTTTGCCTGCTCCAGTTGTGCAGACCGCAGCAGGCTAGTACTGCATGGCACCATCTGCCTGAAGTGGACTGCAAGGTCCCTGAGACCAATCCAAGCATTGCAACCTCACCTTCAGGAGGTCAATTGTCCACTCTGTGACAGCCCTATTGGAAGCATAGGCTGCATTGTATCAATGCTTGGCCTCAGGCTGCAAGATATGTAATGCAGGCATCAGCCATGATCACATAGGGTAGCCCTTGTCTCCCAGTAACCATCCTTGTAAAGTTTCAGGCCCCTCAATGGGAACATGAGAAGTCTCAAGAATATAGACATTGTGGCATTTCCCAGGGAACAAGGCCAGGCTTCCTAGATGTGGTTCTGATGGCCGCAGATGAATAGCACGTGATGGAATGAACACCTTTTCCATTGATGGACTCAGCTTTATTATGATGTGGTACTCTCAAAGCAATGTGTGTCCAGCTGATAGCACTCTGAACCTGGAGGAAGACGGCTATGTTGCCAGAGCCTCTGTCTGGGCTGTAGCACTGATCTTATCACAGGAAATTGAGGTGAAATGGTCAGATCTGGCACAAATAGCATCAGTAGCAGTCTTAATGTATTTGTGGGTGGTCAATTGAAAGATGTCACACAGGATCCCAATGGTTCCTTGGCAGTAGTCATTCACATATAAGTTGAATGCAGCTGCCACCTTGATACCTGCTGGGATAGGATGCCGAGTCACCCCTTCAGGTTACAGTCTTACTCCAGCAGATGGCATCATTCAGTGACAATATCCCGGGGACATCCTCTGCCTGTGGTGACACTGTGTCTCACTTGTCTGAAAGAAATGGCATCAAGGGGGAGACATCAGCTTGGTCGTGCCCACAATTGTGATGCACACTTCTCCCCTGTTGAAGCTGCAGTGGTGGTGGCCATCTATAACCATCCCTCCTACTGCACGCTGTGCTCTTCCACACACTTCCACTGGCTCATCTCCAGATGTCACGTTTTCCCACCTATATCACCCTTGCCCCTTTACTATGCCAGTTTGCTGCCTCCAAATCCCAGCACTGATTCCCCAGCCACCCCCAACCCACTTCTCCACCCCAATTATGCCTCTTGATACCATGCAAGATCCTTGACTAATGAACCACAAATCCCCAGATTGCTTGCACTGAACCTGCCACACAGACTG